CCTGCTAATAACATGTAGGACCACCTTTAGCCCTCAAAACTGCTAGCACCCGCCGTGGCATTGATTCCACAAGGTGCTGATAGGTAGTCTGAGGTATCTGGTACCAAGCTCTCACCAACTGGTCCTGCAATTCCCTCACATTGCGAGGGGGTAGCGTGGCAGCATGAGTTTGATTTTCCAAGTCGGACCACAAATGCTCTATTAGATTAAGGTCAGGTGAATTTGGGAGCCAAGACATGACTTGAAAGTCACTGGAATGTTCCTCGACGATTCGACCCTTATGACATGGTGCATTATCCTGTTGGTAAACACCATCCCCCGCAGGAAAAACTGCTGCCATGAATGGGTGAACCTGGTCTGGAACTATGTTCAAGTAGCTTACAGACGTCAGGGATTGTTCTATGAGGATTATGGGTCCTAATTTGCATATTTGCATCTCGACCTGCCCTAATGGCATACGAGTAGATACATAAAACATATATTAAATATACATAAACAACCAGAAATTATATCAACAACAATTATTTTAAAATCACAGATGTCAGTGGCAACAGCTCGACAGAAAAAGTACAACATCACAAGTAACAACACAAAAAGTACAACATCACAAGTAACAACACAAAAAATGTATAACATCAATGACATCTGCTAAAATCGAGCCATTATAGAATTAAAAGTGAAAGGTATTTGGGCCAACAAGCCCTTAAGACTTTGTGGTTAAAAATACGTCAAGACCCTTATTACTTTATAAGGTCAACAGACCCTTTTATTTAAAACAAACCGTGGCTCAAAAGTTAAAACCAAGCTGCACAAGATCATCCCAAAATTTCTCGACAATTGTGGTGTCTCTACAATACAAAACATATGATTGATCATTTATAAGATGAGCTAAAAGCTCAAACAAAATCGACATGGCCACGCAGGGCCAGTAGAGATGGTCAATCAAAACATCACCATTAATACATCGTACACTTAACACAGATGATCTAGCAGTTAAAATCAAAACCCAATACGGGCCCTCACACATTGAAAAAAATCAAAAGAATAATACATAAAAAATATAAAATCTCAAGAAGGAAAGATTAAAATAGTCCCAAAGTTTAAAAGTAACATTATGACATCACACATTAAAACAATGGAATAAATAGTTAAAATTATGACCCATAACCGGGCCAAGACATGATTAAAATCCCAATATTTAAAAATTTAAAATCAGAAAAAGGTTAAAAGCCCAGGAACAACCAACCACTAGTTGATCTCAAGGTCTAAATTTAGTAAATTTATAATAATAAATAATAAAATAGTAAAACATGATACGGTTGAGACACCCAAATTAGTGGTCGCGGATTCAGAATTATTATTAGACTTCCCCCAGAATATCCTCCAATGTTTTTTTAATGATGGATTTAATTATACCCCTGCAGGTCGAGCTTGAAAAGCATTGGACTTAATCTAAATTATGAAAATGTTTTCCACGGAGTGTTCGGAATCTTGGGCAATGCAAAATCAAGAGGTCAACATTTTGAAATTCACCACAATAATTGCATGCCGGGGATTTGTTAAAGAGTCTACTTTGATGGTCACCGAACACCCCATGGCCCGTTAAAAATAGGTTTAAATAGCAGTTCGCCTGCAGTATTATGTCTTGGGTCTTTTACGAATTTATAAGCCTGTCTACTTTTTTCAGAATCCTGCAGTCTTGTTTCCATCTCTTATTTGTATAATCTTTGACCATTATTTTAACTTGGGCGATGGTGCTCGGGGACTCAATAGTAATACTACCGAGACCGATGGCATCCTTTGCAACTCGATCCGCCTCCTCGTTGCCATCTATTCCTATGTGATGGGCCTTTACCAAATTGAGTTTGATATTGTTTTGCCAGAGTTCTTTGGTTTTTTCAACCAAAAGGGACACAGGTTTTGGATGATTTAAAGCTTGCAACGAGGAGAGCGAATCGGAGTATATTGTCGCATCGGGATAATTATTCTTCGCAAGCCAATTTAGGGCAGTTTTAATCGCCATCAGCTCGGCTTTATACACACTGCTGTTGTTGCTCATTCTGATGGAGGTCACCTCAATTGTTTTACCGTTAACCCTAACAGCAATGGTCCTAATGTGTTCTATGAAAACATTGTTGCAAAGGATGCCATCGAAACCATGAAAACGTAGGCGAGCCCATTGTTATAGATGGAGAGTGGTCATAATGTAATGGCTCTTCGGTGTATATATTTATCTATATACGGTGTGAAGAAAAAAAAGAAAAAAAATCAGTAAATCAGTAGTTATAAACACTACGAAGTCATATTAAAAAATGAAAAGCAGACACCGACACAATTAAGGAGCTTGGTGGAAGAACCAGGTAAGTAATCTTTTTAGGATCATTAATGAATCGGAGAAAATAACAATTTTTTTTTTTTTTTGGATTGCATCAATATGGGGTATGTTTAATGTAAAAGAACTGCTTTTGCCTAAACCACATCAGTTTCTAGTATGTTTGCATGTTTTTAATTTGAGATTAGGCAGTGGTAAATAAAGTAAGGAAAAGAATTACTATAAACTGTAAAGAAATAAATTCGTAATGCGTAGTAAATTGTAAACTATCTTCTAATGAATTGGTAATAAAATAATTCTGATACAACAATTGTTTTTTTGTTCTGAAAGTCCATAAAGGACTGAGTCTATAAAGGACCCACACAAACGTTCATTTTTTTATACATATAGACATACATAAGGTCTTTTTTTCTTCATAAAAAAGCGTTGTTTTTTTATGATATGCTGTATTTGTATGTATGCTATATTTGTGATATATTACAAGTTCATAGCGCTGAAAAAACTGTTAGCAATTCATTTACCCGTATATAGCCAAGACGGTGTGAAAACAGCACAAAATATAAATATGTAAATGTGTCAACATGTATAATTCAAAAATACACAGATAAATATTAAGAGGTACATGGTTATTGTACTTTGAAAGTAAATGTACCTATTATTAAGAGGCACATTAATGCAGAATGAGAGTTATGCTGTGCCATTAATTTTTGGAGGAATTGTGTACTTTTTTAAATTCAATGGAAAAATGTATAATTTTTAACCTCTGAAATCATAAGTACTCTTTAAGAATGCGGGTTTTAGTAACGAATGTGCTCGCGCCAAGCACGTCTAAATAAGTGAGGAAAATAATACCAACAGTTTAAACTGCAATAATGCATGATGCTAATCCTCTGAGAAAATTCGTTTTTTTATACACATCTCCCTCGAAATATTTAAAATTAAATATTCCTCGTATTTAAAATTATCTGTGTGCCAAATTATATCACAGTCAAAGGCATGTTTTAAAAGATTACGCGAGACACGAAGAAAAAAATTGATAAAAGTATAGTACTATAAATACATTTCTGATTAAAAAAATAAAAAAAAGCATACATCTGGTAATAAAAACTAAATATACGGTATTTAAGTCATATATTTGATGTTTTTTGTATTCATATAGTAAAGATTTACCGAATTCTTTGTTATGTTACAAGTCTTATTACCAGGCATTTAGTAATAGTTTCAATTCTGAAAAGTAAATTTAACTGAATAATTAGTTTTATGCCATGCTCTCATGATAAAATTTACCGAACCTTACCATATTTACCAAATTTTGACACACATTATAAAATAATATTTTACTGTTATTTTTTTCCAAAATCATTATCAAAGCACTTCTGTAGAAAATTATCACGCTTCTTGGTGTCCCCATAGAGCCAGAAACAAGGTAAATTTTACTATATTTTGGTAATTTTTTAAAGACTCTATCTGAGTTCGTAGACAGACATCTATTCATATATTAAACATATAGATAAAATACAGTAATAAACCTTAGCCTATCAGCTTCGAGAGGGATGACCCCATTTAAAATTAATCCCACTTCCCTGCCATATTCCTAATTATTTCCTACTTTATTCATTTTTTATTTAATTCATTTTATGCGTTTTTGGAGGAAAATGGCAGCCACCAATTTCAGTAATAGCAATTAATTTTCAATCAACAGTATGTGTTAACATCAGCGCAGCACTAACTTGTGTCCATCTTCATCTATGAAAGGTACGCCATCATAGAATCGAGTTAACATGTCATACATTTAAGTGAATTGGAATTGTATTTTTGCAGTGGTAGATACACTACAGTACACCCCCACCATAATTATATCCGTGATAGAATTCGATGAACGAATACCACTAGTTTATTCATTGCTGTTTTGTGAGAAGCCGGGAGAGCCGTATTAAGATCACCATTCTTTTTAAGTTCTGATAGTGAGGGCTATATTAATTTGACGGTCGAGATAGTTCGTGTGTTGCCATTAGCAGTCGAATGAATACGTTGTACGTTGTGTGTGATCGAAACTAAGTAGCAACATTACGAGAAGGTGGATAATGTTGCAGTCACAAGTAACACGCCAACTGTTCAGTGTAAACAATCCATCGAAGAAGGCGTTACTGTCAAGTTTGGCGTGTTCATATCGACGTGGGAGTTTCTGTCAAGGTAGGCATGTTCACATCACGTCCGGGTCACCAATGTGGGGCTCGAGTGTTTATCGGCAATGTCAACCTTCATCTATGAAAAGGTATTCCAACATGGAATCGAGTTAACATGTAATATATACCAGTGAACTGAAATTGTATTTTTGTAGCGGTAGATACGTTACACCCTCTGTAGCTAAATTTCAATACCCTATTAAAGTAACAATTTCTCAGCATTATATTTTTTTTGCAGATGGTGTTCGTCTACCTGATAACCATAGGCAGACTGTTTATCCAAACGGGACACTTCTTGTTCGACAGGTTGAAAGAATGGTCGACGAAGGTCGGTACACGTGCACCCTCAGAAACAAAGAAGGAGAAAGCGCAAAGGGAAGCGTTTATATTACTGTCAGAGGTAAACTAAAATTCATTAGTTACTGAAAGAAAAAAAATAAAACAAATCACCGAGGTCAATTTGCACCTGCTATTTACTTAGAGTTCTTTAAAATACACTTTCTAGCATGAATTTATTGTACAGTCCCTAAACAAAGTATTAGACGCACTATAAAAATCTATGCAAAATCTTAAATATCAGGTATACTATACAGCATTATTGTTTTCACGCAGCTGAAACCGGTTTACACTTTTTTACGTTCGTGTAACAATTGGTTAACATTGTATTGCAAAACATAAATACAAATAGGAAGTACATAAAAAATCTCCTGAATAAAAATCCATTACATGTATGTTTAAATATAAAAGTATTGCATACAAATACGTGCAAAACATGTGGTTATTTAAAAACTGCAGCGAATCTAATAATTTGATCTAATTACTATAGTATAATAGTATAACACCTGTTACAATAAATATTCTATATTTATATAATATATCGTCTCATTTATCTAATCGTCGAATGTATATTATATATCGTCTAATTTAACCACTTAATATACGAACGTAAACAAGTGCAAACCGGTTTCAGTCGCTTAAAGACAATAAAGCTGTATAGTATCACCTGATAATTATGAATTTTACATAGAATCTTGCAGTGCGTCTGATAATTTGGTCTAATTGTTATAATATACTAATATAATACGTGATATAATAAAAATTCTATATTTATATAATATATCGTCTATTTATCCAATTGTCAAATTTACATTATATATCGTCTAATTTAACTGATTGATACACCAACGTAAACACGTGAAAACTGGTTTCAGTGACGCAAAAGCAATAAAACTGTATAGTATCACCTGATAATTAACATTTTGCATAAGATCTTACAGTGCTTCTAATAATTTGGCCCCTTATTTACCTTAACAATACAAACCAAATTATTTTGATGTCATTGCAGTTCGTCCAGTTATAGAGCCCTTCAATCTCCCATCGTCCGTACAAATGGGTCAGAGACTGAGTATCAGTTGCACAGTCATCAAGGGTGATCCGCCCATCACCTTGAAATGGCTGAGGGACGAGGATATTCTCGAAAAGGATGGTGACATTAGAATCCATAACTTGGCGGATTACTCATCGACACTTCTGTTCGAATCGATCAAGCCAGAACACAGAGGGAACTACACCTGCGTTGCCAGCAACGAGGCGGGATCTGAACGCCACAGCGCAGCAATGGTAATTCATGGTATGCATGTTGCAACATAAAAATAATTGATACTTGAATAACATTTAACATTCATTTTATCATGAAAACTTTTTTGTCAAATGATATGGAAAATGATTCTTAAAATAATTGAAAACTATAAATCGTTTATTTATCTATATAGAATCTGATGGAGTAGAATTAATAGCCCCAAATTTGAAGTATGGAGATATTCGATTTAAGAATGCTATATTCTTCCAAAACTCACTGATCGACATCATCATCTAATTTTTTTGATGTTATAACTTAAATCACGCATGTTATAAAAATTGAAATTTCAGGACTTTTTATCAGTAAACTGGAAGAAAAAAATTATTTGAGTATTTAAAATAAAAATTTAATCATTATTTTGAAATATTACCTACATTTGAAGTTTATTTATTTGAAGTTTATTTTTTTTTAAATTAATATTTTAAGTTATTGAGTATGAGAAAAGTTCTATAATCTTATTTTCAAATATCTTATTTCCTAGCAATGACAAGACATGCTTGATGCAGCTGCAATTTTTTATAAAAAAGAATTTTTTTTTCAAGAATTACTAAATAATAAATGACAATTTGCTTAAAATAAAAGTTTAACTTTGACAGTTTAGTTTAACAGTTAGCTTTAACTCTGTACTTACATTTCCGCAGTCCGTTAAAATTGCTGACAGGATATTTTTTACTACAAGTTTAAGAGTTTATAATACTCCAATTCAGTACTAATTATTGAATCTTAAACTTTTTTTATTTTTCGTACTTCCAGTTTAGTTTTTCTGCGAACATCATTAATTTTAAGTCTCTAAGTCTATTTTATTTATATTTTTTTGTGTTGGGGCATTGGCCGAGCGGTCAACGTGCCTGACTGTGAAGCCAATGGTTGTGAGTTCGAATCCCGATCAGGGCATGGATGTTCTGTGTGTTGTTTTCTATTGTGTGAATGTCCCAACTTATAAACGGGTATCTGTGGCAGTGTGGCGTGGGTAATGTTGCTCGCCTCCGTGACTCAGGTTCACAGGTGTCCACCGGGTAACGTTAAATGCGCAACAGTTCCGGCATCTTCCGAGGTGAAAATCAACGCCGGCCATGGAAAAAAAAATTTTTTTTTGCACACCAAAACAAAATGTAAAGTAGAACAGTCAAAACAGCGGTTTCGATTTTTAATAAAGAAAAATAAAACATTTAAAAAAAAAGTTAATTATGATAGATTAATTATTATTTTTTTAAAAGTATTTTATCTCATTCATGAGTTTAACTTTTTCAAGCTATTTATTGCGGAGAAAATAGTGCATTATCTGCCATTTAAATCTCGGGACGATAGATTTCAGTATTTTCATGAGTTACATATCTTATATTCAAAAATATGCTCTTTATTATTTTTCCTGCTGATAATTTTTCCTTTCGTTCCAGTTCCTCCCCGTTGGAAAACGGAACCTAATGATGTTGACGTAATTAAGGGACGGAGCATTATGATCGATTGCGAAGCTGATGGTTTTCCCCCACCCCGACTCACCTGGAGAAAAGCAGCAGGTAGTTTGTTTTTTTTTCTCCTGAGATAATTTTCTCATTAAGAGGATGAACATGGTGATAAACAAATATGAAGTTTAAAAAAAATAATGTTAGAAAAAACGAATAACTTTGATTTTTANCAGATCAAGTATCCAGTGTAGCATTTTTATTCCATTTAAAAGTAATTTCTTTGCAAACTATTAATAAATATTCAATTAATTAAAAAAAAATTAATAGTGGTTCGTGTACTGAGGAAAAAAGCACTTTAAAAAGCGTAATGATAAGTATAGTTTAATGTGTTTCTGGTTTTAAGCTAACACCAAACAGCCCGGTAATTTTTTCCGAAGTGCTTTGATAATGGCTTTGGTAAAATAAAAATAATAAAATATGAATTTATTATAGATGATAAAATTTGGTAATTCTATCATGATACCTTACTTAGAGCATGGCATAAAAACCACTTATTCAGTTAAATTTACTTTTTTTTTTATTATATGTGTGGTAATAAGAATTTTGAAAACCAGACTTAACAGCAAACTGTTACATTTGAGCTAAAAAAATTAACAAATGAATGATTTATCTACCGTATATTTTGGTTATTAATACCATCGAAATCATTTTTACCAAAATTGTCACTACCACACAGAACGGTAATTTTAACAGAATATTTTTTCTGTGTATCATGCATTAATGGGTAATGAAGCAATTTTTTTTCTAGTTTTATTTCTTTTTGAAATGAAATTTTTATAAATATTCAGCTATTACATTACAGAATTTCTAACCTTTAGAAGTATTAAATTTCGAATTTAATGAACGAAAGAGGATTTTCTTAGGAAAAAAATACTTTCACATTTATATTATATATCAATACATTAATAGTAAGAATCTAAGTTCTATATAAAAAATGTTACTTATGTCTAGATGCAAAGAGAGTTTTTTCTTAAGTAGCTTTATAAAATTTAGATATAATCATTTAAGAAATGCATAAATTTTTTTATAGTTTAAATCCTTTTTGAATCATGAATTACATATAACCATTAAGATATTTCGATTCTATTCTATTTTATATAATATTCTGCACATTAATTTATTTCCATATGTTTCGATTTAATAAGATAATTGAATTTCATGTAAGTTGAAAGACCTAATGGAAAATTAAATTCAGTAATTAAAAATAGACATTGTTGTGTGATTAGATAACGACGTTTAATTATTTTATGTGAGTTAACTGGAAAAAAATAATTCGAAAAAGTTTGCACTCTCATTATATACATTTCATTTCAAAAACATAATTTCAATAAAAATAATATTTATTGAAAGATTTAACTGATAAATAATTCATGCATTAAAATTTTAACTTTAATCGTCAATTGTCACGTTAAAAGTAAGGTTTTAAATGCATACATGAATTATATTTTTTGGGTGCATTATATTTTTTAGAGCAATACAGAAAATAATATTTATTTTTTTGTTTTTATTAATGTTAGTTAAAAGCAAAAGAGAACAAGTTGCAGTACATTTTCTTTATTTAAAAATGTGCAGTGCGCAACACCAACCTTAATAACCTTTAAAGTAATGATTGGATCTTCACGTTCTTGGACTCAATCTTAATGGTTCGAGGGGATGTTCTTAAATATGATATTTTAAGTTTATTTAAAACTAGTCTGAAAACTTTTGAATCGTAAGTTATGCAATGTTCTTTATCATTTTAAAGAACATAATTTTACATGCGACAGTACAAAAAATACGCCTTTTTAGAAATTTGATTTCTCAGAAACTATTAGACCGATTTTACTCAAATTTTTGTATTTTCCCTTGTAAAATTCATTACGTATATACTTGGACTATTACTACATATATACTACATTCTTTAAAATGATGTAGAAGTGTATACTTCACAATTCAACACATATTTTTGCAAAAGGCACCTAAGATAAGATTGATTTATGTTTACATTTTTATCAATTATTTATCTTTTAAGTTTTAAAAAAATAAGTTTTAAAAAATTTGCTTGAACATTCACAAATCGCTTCTTTCACTAGGGAGTGTTCCCGAAAGCTATAAGCCAATCAGCAGTAGTTCTCATCTGCACGTGTTTGAAAATGGTACACTTACGATATTGGATGTTGGGGAACATGATGCTGGTTACTACCTGTGTCAGGCATCAAATGGAATCGGATCAGGTCTAAGCAAGGTTATCAGCCTTACCGTTCATGGTAACTCTTTTACCATTTTATGTATGCATTTACATAATACTTTGATTTACATATTTTATATTATAAACAATTTAGCTATGCAATCAACTTTCTTTTCTCACCAAACTCCAAAAAATGTAAGTATATATACAAAACTAAAAGAATAATCAAAAAGACAAAATAAAACATTAGTTTCTGTGTTTCTCGTTGCTAAGGGATACCGGACTGGCAGCGTTGAGTTGTAGCAGGCAATTCACCAGAGTCCCATATATTTATTAATATTACAATAAATATTATATTATTCGAAAAAATTATTTAACACTTCAACTTTAATGTACTTCAAACAATTTAATTTTAATATTTACATAAAACAAAAAATATAACAATAACTGATTTTGGTATGGTTAATGCAACTGATAAAAATCATAACATATCGTTAACAAATAAGTAATTGCAAAACGCTTATTAAGTATAATTGAAATAAAACGTTAATAATAAGTGAAATAAAAAATACTGGCTTTATTATTCGTTTGAAATAATTTAAATAGTAGCTATGAAAATTGCATGCTCTTCGTTTGTAATATGCATTGAAATCGATAAATAAGTGATAATAAAAGTAGGGGATAATAAAAATAACAGGTGGTAATAAAAATGATAGGTGATAATAAAAATAGGGAATAATAAATATAAGTGAATCGATAAATAAGTGAAAAGAGCTACTGATTCAATTATTCACTTGAAATAATTCAAATAGCAGCTATAAAAAGTGCATGCTCTTCGTTTGTAATATGCATTGAAATCGATAAATAGGTGATAATAAAATGAGGGGATAACAAATGTAGGGGATAATAAGTGTAGGGGATAATAAAAATAATAGGTGATAATAAAAAATAATAGGTGATAATGAAAATAGGTGATAATAAAAGTAAGTAAATCGATATACTATAAATGAAAGAAACTACTGCCTCAATTATGCGCTTGTAATAATTCAAATAGTGGCTATAAATAATGGATGCTCTTCGTTCGTAATATGTATAGAAATCGATAAATAGGTGATAATAAAAGTTGGGGATAATAAATGTAGGGGATAATAAAAATAATAGGTGATAACAAAAAATAATAAGTGATAATGAAAATAGGTGATAATAAAAGTAAGTAAATCGATATATAAGTGAAAGAAACTACTGCCTCAATTACGCGCTTGTAATAATTCAAATAGTGGCTATAAGTAAGGAATGCTCTTCGTTTGTAATATGTATAGAAATCGATAAATAGGTGATAATAAAAGTAGGGGATGATAAAAATAACAGGTGATAATAAAAAATAATAGGTGATATAATAAAAATAGGTGATAATAAAAGTAAGCAAATCGATAAATAAGTGATAATAGAGGTGATAATTCATAAGTTAAATTATATTGTAATAATTTTAAATTTTAGTTGCTGCTCACTTCACCAATAAATTTCATGCTGAAATCGTAAAAAAAGGACAAGAGGCCAAATTGTCTTGTCAAGCTTACGGAGAAAGACCACTTAACATTGCGTGGACGAAAGATAAACAAACTTTAAACACAAAGTCAATTACCAGGTAATTGGAACCCTTTATTTATACTAGTGATATGATTTTTTGTAGCACCAACTTAGAATTCTCTTCTAAAGTTCCCGAGAATCTCATTCTTTCCAGTTCTTTCAAATAATTTATTATTTCAAATAATTATTAATACAAAGGTGCCACTGTATGACGGAATCAGCTAATTCCAGTATAAAAATTCGCTATAGAGAAAATTTCGTTATACGGTACTTAGAAATTTTTGCAGTTTGGCGGAGATCTTTTTATTTATCATCACGTAAAATATGTGGCTTAGTGGAATGAAAGAAAATCTTTTTCTAGAATAACTACATGGCCAGAATATCGTTTATAAAGTAATAAGGCATGTAATTAGAATTACTAGTAAATCTTTTAAATTCAGTTTAAAAAAATTTATCCTAAGTAAAAAAAAACTAAACGTTTAGCTGCTTCAATTGACTATTCTTTGTTTCGATCACATATACGTTTGAATATTTCGCCAATGTTTATTTTGTAAATAAGAAAAGAACGGTACTATTTTTGTAGTGGGTCATTAATGGGGTAAACAATAAAAGCCTGAGGAATTGCAGATCGCTATTATAACAATTTAACTCTGCAGTGTATAATGTTACATGATGCAATATTAATAACCTATTGGTTTTGTTAGTGGGGGTTGTCGTTGTGTATTTGTCCCCATCAACAATTAGAAATCACTAAAAGTCACCTCTCAATATTTCAGAAAAAATGAAGTAAATTTTCGTGAATTGTTATCGATTTGAATTCCTTAACTATAAAAGTAAGAAATAAATAAAAAATTATCTTTTTGCCGGTATGCAGTACATTTAAGATTTTTTTTTCTCATGTGGGAAATTTCGAACAAAGGTCACAGTGTAATTTATTTTCGTTCCCCTTAAAAGCTGAACCTGGCGACACCCATGTAATAACCCATTGTTTTTTCCCAAAGTTTGTATTTGAGAAAAGATTTTTTTTTCTTTACAATACAGCAACAATAAAAATTTAGAAAAATCTTAAGATTTGTGACAAAATTAAAGGAGCAGCCTAAAAATAGTTTCGTTTTCTTCGATTCAAGATCCTGAAAGAGGGAACAATTTAGGTCTACCTCCTTGAATGCCCTTGGCTCGATAACAGCAAATGAAAAGAAGCCAAATTTCATTTTTATATTTAATAGAAGTGAGCTATAATTCTCCTTAATTGTGTAAATATTCGAAAACCAAACAAAAACATTTACCCTAAAACCGGTTCCTTTTATATTAAGAACGGTTTGGTAATTTTCAAATAATTTTGTAATTTTCAATAAATGGCAATCATGGACTTCAATGGTAAAAGTCGTAGCTAAGCCTTCTAAAATGACGGGGTGAGGTTTCGCCCTCTATTTCTCGCTCCCGTGATATTTCCGGGCTGGAATGTTCAGTAGTAACCTGCCAATAAGAATAAAACTAATTCATTTCTTTGACAAGGAAAAATTTTTTTCTCATTTTACACACTAGATGGCAGTACCAGGATATTTTTAAGGTAATTGTAGATAGCTAGTTTATTTTTACAAATACGTGTATTTGTGATGTGCATAAAAAACAGGCACTTTTATGACTATTTTCTTGATAATTAAGTTATTGTTAAAGGGTTAAATGAGTAAAGGTGCTGGAATTCCCTTTGCTTGTTCAGATTGTTCGAAACCACCCGCAATCTAGTTAGTAAAGAAATTAGTGAGATATAGCCTGCATATTTCATTTAACAATATTGCATAGAGCCCATTTTCCCCCCTAGAGACGAGTTTTTGGACATTTTTACCGGAAATAAATTTCCACGATCTATTTAAAACTATCGTCATGTTCGATGACATTTGATATAGTAGTTTTCCTTTCATGATAATTATGAACTTTATGAACTTTAATTATTACCACCCTGTATACTGTAAATAAAAATGATAATCCTTTATGTTATCTTTGGTTTTCTTTTATTATATTGCATTTTTATTAAAGGTATCGTCTAACAGAAACAGTCTTTTCGAATGGAAGCTTGTCGGAATTGTTGATAGATTTAGTAGACCGAGGGGATTCTGCTCTGTTTACATGTTTGGCTACGAATTCTTATGGAAAAGATGAAACAAATATACAACTAATAATTCAAGGTACTATAATCACTTTTTGGGCTGTTCTTGGGAGGTTTTTGTAGAACATAAATTGAAGCTTTTTGTTCGAAAGCGACTTGCTATTTTTATGACTAATAGGAGTTTGTATTATTCATACCTGTTAGGATGTTTTGTCCTTCTTAGCCGACGTCTTTCAAGCTAATATGATAAAAATTCCATTTAAGCTAATATGATAAAATTCCATTAAAGCTAATGTGATAAAATTCCATTTGAGCTAATATGATAAAAATTCCATTTAAGCTAATATGATAAAAAAATTCCATTTAAGCTAATATGATAAAATTCCATTTGAGCTAATATGATAAAAATTCCATTTAAGCTAATATGATAAAATTCCATTTAAGCTAATAGGATAAAAGTTTCATTTAAGCTAATATGATAAAATTCTATTTAAGCCAATAGGATAAAAAATCCATTTAAGCTAATATAATAAAAATTCCATTTAAGCTAATATGATAAAATTCCATTTGAGCTAATATGATGAAAATTCCATTTCAGCTAATATGATAAAATTCAATTTAATATTTTTTTAAATATTTAAGCTTTTTGACCATTTTAATGTTTATATAGTTCTTTTAAGTGAGATCGGATGCATAGTTTAAAAACATAGCTTGTGATTTTAGTATATTTAAACTGTGCTTTTTGTTTATTTATTTTCAGTTGACGAA